GCTTTACCCAGCAGGTCCGCATAGAGGATGATCAGGACCATGGGCCTGAGTGCAGGTGTCTGAGATGGTCTGCACTTGGCTGTGCTGGGGGGAGGAGGACTTTTGCTCCACCCCTTGGCTTCTCTATAAAAACCCTGGGGCAGAGACAGAGCCCATTGGAAAAGGTTCCAGACCTTCTCAAGGCTATCCTTTATTTTCTATCTGTTTATCTCCGCAAGATTCTCCACAATATAAATCTTTCTATCTAATATTTCCTGCTGCTCTCACTCAAGAAAACTCTGGGGAACTGTGGGAGTATGGGTAAACACCCCACATATAATGATTTAAGTTTTATTTATGTTCACCTAAATATCAGATGCACAGTTTAGTGATGCATATTAACATGTTTTAGGAAAGAGGTGTACATTTTAGAAGACCTTTGCTTATAGGCAGCAGATAACAAAAACAGACTAAAAAAACAAAACAACCACTTCTACCCCCACCCCCACCCCAACAACCCAGGACAATGAATATCAGTAAGGAAGAGGATTTTGGAGGAGAAAGAGAGATGCAGAAGGAACTGGGTGCAATGTTCCGTTTTAAGAGAGGTGGGTGTAGAAGAAAAAAGGTAGGAAAGACAGGAAACAGCAGCAAGCAGGACCAGGCAAAATCAGATGGACTCACTGTCTCCCAACAGTTAAGGAGGAAGAGAAGTGGGCAGTGTAATGTGAGAAGTCCCACAGGAAGATGAATGATCAGTGGGCATGAGGAGCCATTGACATCTAGTTCAGGAATGTTTGGTAAATGAGCAGAAGTGAAAGCCAGAATCTAGTGACTCCAGGAACAAGTGGGAGATGAGGAAGAGATGAAAGAAAATTCAATTTTTCGAGGAAAGGTGTGTTAGTTTTAAGTTAGGAACTCTATGAAAGTGTGGGGACACTGGGGGGAGGAAGATGCAGGAAAGAGGATGAAAACAAAGTCCTTTTGATCAGTGTTGGGCTTTTATAACTTCCGTGCTCAAGTAACCTGGAACTGCTCTGGATTAGCTCATTTCTCCTCACTATTCCTGGGCTATGCACATACTTAATAGAACTTATCACCTAAGATGTAGTCTTCAGTGTGTCCACCATGAAATGCTGAAGAGTCCCCAGGGTCATGGTTCTGTCCTGTCCTTCCAGCTCTTCCTGAAGATAGCTGTGGTCATAAATCACTAGGAGCAGGGTAATACTGTCTGTGAGGAATTGGAGAAGTATCTCTTTGTGGTAAGGTCTCATGTAGCCTAGGCTAGCTATGAACTAACTAACTAACTAACTAACTAACTAACTAACTAACTAACTTAGTTTCTAATTAATCAACTAACCAACAACTAAGTTACCAACTAAGTTAACCAACCATCCAACTAAACTAAACTTACTAGCTAGCTAAACCAACCAACCAACCAAGTATAGTAACTTGTATAGTTAAGGATGACCTGAAACTTCCATTCTTCCTCATTCTAATTCCCAAGCGCTAGGGCCACAGCCTCCACACTCTGTGGTGATGGGGAATCTTTCCCATTCAGGCTCTAACGACTCAGGCAATTGGACATTTATAGATTTTGTTTCTACAAAGAATGTAAGAATGTAAAAGTAAAAAAAAAAAAGAAAGAAAGAAAGAAAGAAAGAAAGTCTTAGCACTACCAGGAAAATGAATTGTTTTTGTTCTGTTTTACAGCTTTGTTTCAAAAACATTCTCAGTTTCTTGATGAAAAAGCAATTACAAAAGAACTGAATTACACTGAATTAGAGTGTACAAAACAGCATTCACTCTCGAAAGGTAAAACTTAATGTGTCTAAAATCAGCATTTCCAACAAGATCCTCAGCTCAATCCATCAGCAATGAACCCTATGGAGACAAGACTTCATATTACACACTCAATACCAGCTGCCTGTGGAGTCATTTTTAGAGGTCTCCAATCAGGCATAATTGGGATGTGTGCCCCCCTAGTGTCAATAAAGCCGAGTTTCAGGGAGGGAGAAGCAATACGTGGCTGAGTAGAATTTTATTAGAAACAGAAAGGAGCTCCAGAAAGAAGAAAGACAATGTGATGATGTGAATGTGAGCGTCTCCAGGGAGTCATGCTCAATGGTGTGTGTTTAAGATTTCATTTTTAATTAATATACATATATATGCACGTGCCTGTGTGTGGGTTGGTGTAGGTGAGTGCATTGCTTGCAGAGGCAGAAAAAGGAGTCAGATCCCAGGAGCTGGAGTTAGATGTGGTTGTGAGTCACAGGTTGTGGGTGCTGGGAACTGAACTCCAGTCCTCTGTAAGAGCAGTACACACTCTTAACCACAGAGCCATTTCTGTAGTCCCTCAAGTGTTTTCATAACTGTGTGTGTGTGTGTATGAGTGTGTGTAATGATCTTGTTGTGTGTGTGTATATGAGTGTGTGTAATGATCTTGTTGTGTGTGTGTGTGTGTGTGTGTGTGTGAGATGATCTTGTTCCATTCTCAGTTACAGTGTCTACAAAGTGTAATTTACTCAAGATTTGAACAGAGAATTTGTTTTTCTAGTAAACTAAGCTGGAAGGCGGACTGATGAACGAGTATTACTTAGATTTCGGAAAGAGAGAGAAGTGCTTAACACTATCCATCACTTTGGCCCCCAATAAGCAAATATTCTCGACTGTCTTTGACATCTGTAACTGAGATGTCTGTGGAATACACCGTTTGGCCCTAAGTAGGCAATTTATTTACTGTCTTTGTCAACAGACCTTTTGGGAAACACATGTTTCCCTAGACCATTTGAGCTTGTCTGGGGTTCCTGCCTTTCTCAGCAGATCTCTCTCCCTTCCCTCACTGGGTCCTTTGCTGTGAAGAAGCCTGCAGTTCCATTCAGGGAGTCCTTGCCTGTGCCTACATCTTGAAATGTTGTTTTTACTTTTTTTTGTAATGATTTCAGGGTTCCAAGCCTCACAGTAAGGTGTTTAATCCATTTAGACTCTATTTTAGATTCAATTTTAACACAGAATGGCTATGGATCTAGCTTCATTCTTCTGCACATTGGTACCTAGTTTTCACAGCACAGTTTGTTGAAGAGCCTATCTTTCTCCGATATGTATTTCTAGTGAAAAGTCCGGTGGCTATAGCTGTGTGTGTTCATGTTTGTGGTTCTCTTTTGTGTTCATTGATCAATGTGTGTACTTTTGTTGTGGTACCATGCTCTATAGTGTAGCCTGAAGTCAGGTCTGGTGATACCTCCAACATC